AGCCGCCGCCGCCGTCGCCGTCCAGCAGCACCTGCAGCGTGGGCCCGGCGCCCGACGGGCTGGGCGCGCGCGCGTAGTCGTCCAGGCGCGCCAGCAGCAGACCACCACCACCACCACCACCACCACCATCCCTGTTGTTGCCCTCGCCGTCTTCGCTGCTGCTGGTGCTATCGTCGCCGTCGTCGTCTTCGACGAGCGACGAGATGAGGGCAAAGCGCAGGCGCGCGTCCAGTGGCGAGTCGTAGGCCAGCGACACGTGCACGGCCGGGCACTCGGGGCACGCGGCCTGCAGCGCCTCGGCCAGGTGCTGGTACAGCGGCCGGCCGTCGGGCATGGGGAGCAGGTGCTTGGGCGAGCCCATGCGCGTCGACCGGCCACCGGCTAGGAGGAGCGGCCGGAGCGGCGGCGGGCGTTTTTGGTGGTGGTGGTGGTGATGATGTTGTGACGACATTTGTGTGCTGTTTGTTTCGGGAAAGATGTCCGGTTTTTTTTCTTCTTCTTTTTTATTGTAAAGAAGGAAAATAGACCTGGATGGCACTCGGTAGGTATTATTGCTCCGTCAGAACAGTCAGGTGGGTGTTGCGGGATATGGCATCTACATACAGCTGCGGGGAAGAGGCCGCGCGCTGCAGCGTCTAGTCGAGTGGTGGCTATACTTTCCCGTTTGAGTCTCCGTCTCGTTTCGTGGTTCCATTTGCCCGGCTCGGCGGCTTTGTCCTGTGCGCTCATGGATGCGTGATCTCTTGGGGCTGAGCATCACGTTCCTGTCGTACGATGGTCGCCCGGCTCCGGCCATTCTCTTGTGCACTTCCGACTGGACCGTCCTTCCTGCTCTCCCGCCTCTAGCCGAGGTTGACGTTTCCCAACCATGGTAGGTATACGGTACGGTGTAGACGTTTGCTAATATGCTGGCAAATCTGTATGTCAGGAGCTCCTCGGCAGGTATAGAAATACCACTTTTACCTAATTCTGTTAGTCAAAGCCACTCCCAAAGCACACCCCAAGGTTTCCGTTTAGTATAGATATATATATAGCCTTTAGCGCTACAAGATACTAATTCGCACTAAAGTGCATCAAAGTTCCGGCACAGAAATCCACATAACGTGACTAGTGAGCGTAGCGTGTTGGCGCTGCCTAAAGCTGCACCGCTTACTTCCTTAAATGATTCACCACAGTCTGGTTCTCCAGCCATTCAAGACCGTCAAAAACAGACTCCGGAGCGCCCCAGAAGGTGCCTATTCTCTCACACACTCTGTGCATCAAGCCCGAGCCTGCCGGGAGCTCTAATGCACCCACTAGCTCCAGAAGCAGCCCTCGGGTGTCGCTGATCATCATAATCAGAGCCGGCGTATGCTCCCACTCTGGCTTATACTCCTTGACGTCGAGATTGAAGACTAGGCCATGTCTCACGGTCCCGAGACCTTCCGCCGGAACTGTGGCCCAGAAGCACAGCCCGCGGAGTACTAGGAGACCGCTCGAGATTTGGCCTAGTGGGTCGCTTCCTGCGGGTTCGGCGATAACTTGGACAAGTTCGGCCTTGGGCTCCTCTGATCCAAGCAGCCGGTCTGCAAACTTGACCGGCCCATTGACCGAAGCCCACGACCAGGATGGGGCCACGAATGCTTCGGTCCTCGTGAAGCTGGCTACCTCTCCGGCTTTCGGGAACCCGGGTCTACCCCAGAGGAGACCCTCCAGTAGCTGGCTCCTCCACAAACCAGCGCAGTAATCGTCTTGGGCAGCCTCCATGCTTACACCGGCCTTGGCGCTCCTGAGAATCGCAAACTCGCGAGCCAGGCCGGCAATAGCAGCAAGCTTGTCCGTTTCGACCGTAAGCTGCCTTTCTGTATATCCCTCGACGACCTTGAGCCAATCTCCCTCTAAAAAGGTGACCCTGCCTTTGCTGAGAAAGCAAGACTCGCCGTTTGGCGGCTGGACCCTGCGGCCGCTTTCATATTCAACAAACTTGTCGCAACGGAAATATACTTGCGACGGCTCGAACGCGACCCAGCGGGGGCTAAGAAGCTCCTCTTGAAGGGCCCAGCCCCTGGTCTGCAGGATTGCTTGCCAGGAGGCTAGATGCTTCCGCTTGGCATCAAGGCTAGGGTCGCCCTGGAACGCATCCTCGTACTTGATGGAAGTGTCGGAAAACATGTAGGGGTTGTTATTTCCCCGGAGGCCGAAGATTAAATGGGCATCCGGGGGCTCGATGGCGTCGAAGGCGAAATAGAGAGGGCCCTTGTCGTCGCTAGCATCTCCACTTCCCCCATCCGCTGGCGTGGGCTGTGGGTTCAGCTGGATGAAGGGATCCATAGGTGGTGTCCGTTTCCCCAGGAGCCCGCCGTTGCTGCCACCGGTCATCGCAGCGGCCAGTGTGAGCCACGAATTCTTGTAATAGGCTCCCATTCGGCCAGATTCCAGCTGCCAGTCCTCGCGTGAGTCCTGAATTATACATAAGGCGTCTATCCAAAGGTATCTGACGCCAAGAAGCCTGGTAAGACGAATGGCATCTCTGAAGTTCTGAGTGAGTTGTCCCAGTTCGATCCCGGACTCGCGTTCCTGGAGCGCTTCCGACGTGGTCGTGGAGGCTGCAGGGACCTTGCCTCCCCAGCAATGACTGAGTATGATGTAGCGAGCAGTCTGCGCATCCTTGGGGAGATGGATAGCTGGTCGTAGGTGGACAGTATTGCTCTCAAGAGAATCCCCGACATCGAGGATGCGGGTAGGGATGGTGGCGCCTTGTCCGATGTATGCGTCTTCCGATTCGGCTGCACACCGCTTCACCCATCGAACGAGCGCGTCCTGGTCACATGGAGCGTGGAGATCTATCGGTAACCTGCGACCGGGATATCTGTCGGCGACAGGTGAATCTGAAGTGGCACGGAAACCAGTAGCCAGTATGGTTAGCCCATATAAAAAGAGTGAAGAAACAGTAGGTGTCAGTGGTGGTTCAAAGAGCCAATGTCCCATCCCGTACCATTGTCAATGCATAGTGCCAGCTTCCCCAGTTGCTTGATGCTCTTGAGCTGCTCAACGACGGGTGGCGCGCCAGGGGCTCGGCTGATAGCTGCCATACCGTAGGTGATGCAGATTTGTTCCGACACGGCGATGCTGTCCACGCAGGGCTCGGCAAGGTTTGCATTCTGCTTGAAGCCGACGTCCCGACGCCAGAACAGCCTGATCGTGTTGTCAGTCCAATCGGTGGGCACATCATTGGTGGTCATGACCAGAACCCTGGCTACCAGAGGGTCCAGTGATTGGCGGATAACTGTCTTTGACCGAGCCCGGACGACGGCGTCGAATATAAGAGCGCATAGCCTACAGCCGCCGTCCATGGCCTCCTGGACCTTTGTGAGACTCGCGTGGTGCGCATACCCGAGCTCGGACGATAGTTTCTCGATGGTTATTCCGCGGCAGACGCTGCAGGGGTTGGCGTCCAAAGTCGGATATCTCGCGCCTGCGACGGGGCGGGCGTCGCTCGTGTCCATGTTGGAACTCTGCTTCCAGTGAGCAGAGAAGACCAGTCTGCTTCCAGTGAGCAGAGAAGACCAGAGAGCAATTACGGGAAGCTCATCGTCCAGAATTCATGGATACCACAAGTCACCGTCATGTGCGAGGCACGCGAGAGCCGAGTGCGGCTGAAGGTCAGCCGTCTACCCCGCTCTACAGCTGAGCCTCCTTATTCCACATCCAGCGCGTGCATTGCGTGGCCAGCCCGAGGCCGAGATTGGAAGTGAGTCGTCAAACACAGACAGTGTTGTGCTTGTCGACGTTCCTTGGACCCAAGTTTTAGAGGGGGTATCAAGGCGGCGGATGACGCCAAGAATGAGGCGGCTCTAGTGGATGTTGCTTGCAGCTGTTGCTCACAGAGCCATCTCCTCGTCGCTCTCCTCATCTCCCTGTCCAGCCTCCTCCTCTTCCCTGCGGGTGGCCTCAGTGCTGGCACCTAGCTTCCTGGCGCCGTTGGCGACACCGAGAACGAAAGCTCGGTTCTCGGCTAGCTCGGCGCTGCCGACGCCACGCAGGCTGGCGACGCTGCCACCGAAGCTTTCGACGTCGCCAGAACTGGCGCGCATCTTGGCGGCGCGGATCTCGACTAGATCGCGGATCAGGCTATAGATCTCGTTGACCGAGGCCGGCATGTCATCAGGGGCGTGGGCGAACAGGGTCTCGGCCATCTCCAGCCAGTGGTAGGGCAGGAACTGGGCGGGCGACCCGGCGGTGCACGAGGGCAAGAAGGGCGGCGACAGGACCGTGGAGCCGGCCATGTTGACGCGATGGGCAAGTCCGCGGCCGTCGGAGCGGGAGGGCGGAGGCGGAGGCGGACTGAACTGGGTCGGGTTGGTGTGCGTCTCGTGGTGGATGATCTGGGCGAGCGACGCTGGGTGCAGCCACGCGGGGGGCACGATGTTTGCGCGCCGCTGCTTCTTGAGCAGGAGCGCCAGCCAGAGCGGCAGCGTGGCACGGTGCGGCGGCCGAAGCGTGGGGGTTTTGCCGCCAAGCAGGTTGATGCTGTCGAGGCGCTGGCGCGGCACCACAGTCACCATCTCCATCTCGCACAGGAACGCGGCCTCGGACGCTGTCAGGCCTGGGGGCAGGGGGAGCGCCATGTTGGCGAAATGCAAGAGGCAAGAACAAGACACAAAAAGGAAAAAAGAAATCAAAATCAAACACGCCCGGCAATAATCGGGCAGCAGGGCAGCAAGGGTCTAGGCCGGCAGATCGGTCTATGCATCTCTGGAAGTCGTCATGAGGGGCAGAAAAATGCACGATATTTGATGTGCATGCCATTGAGCATCTGAGGCCGGGCTGGGCCAGACGCGCTCAGCTCGCGCGGCAGAGGTCCAGATTGGGCCCAATGGGAGCATGTTTTTAGTGCCGTCATCCACTGCAGCCAAGGAGCTCTAACCCCTATTGGCCCGCCGCTTAGGGGAACCCCACGCCTGGGTCGAGGCACGGTGGGACCAGACCACCTGCAAGCCGGCAGAAGCTAGGTACACAGTACATCAAATGATCAAAGCAAGACGCATGTGGCTGGGCTTGACGCTTGACGCATAATTCATCTGAAGCTAACTCACGCCGCAATCAACACGCCCCTTCAATCACATACACTTATACCTACATCAAAAAGCAACTGGCTGGGTACATACCTAGGTATATGAACCTGGCGTGGCGAGCGCAAGCCGCCCAGCAACTGTCTAGAACTCGACTCGTGTGCACTGTTTGACGGACAAGCTTCACGTTCGGGCTCTCATTGTGGTGCGTGCAGCTTCGAGTCCGCTCACTGAGGCAGTCGAGGCCACCACCGCCCACATAACCAAGAGCACACCCACTCCGATATTTAGACTCGTGCTTCAGAAAGTGCTTTTTCCCTGGTTCCTGGAACCTCAAATGCCGCCTCCAAACACCCCGGAGGAAGGCCTCCCATCAGCCTTGACATCAGCACCAATCACCCGCCCTGAGGAGGAGAGTGAGACCATGGAGCGACCTGACAGTCAAGTCCTCGCCGACGTAAATGCCTCTGCTGCCGCGGGTGGCGAGCAGCACATCCCTGCCACGGCGGACAGGCCAGAGGACAGACCGACGAAGCCCACACTCGACTGGCACGCGCTGGACTACCCCAACGAGGTCAACCAGACTCTCAGCTGCCCGATATGCCACATGCCCCTGGTCAAGCCCGTCATAACGAGGTGCGACCACGTCTTCTGCCGGTCCTGCTTTGACGAGATGCTCGAGCACAGCAACTGCTGCCCCCTCGACCGCAAGTCGTTCGCCCGCGAGATAGAGAAGGGCCGCTACCCCGCCAAGGAGGCTCCTCGCATCTACCACAACCAGCTCGAGGAGCTCATAGTGCGCTGCCCGAACCGCCGCTGTCCTCTCCTCAAGCCGCGCTCGTCCATACAGCGGCACTACGAGGACGAGTGCGTCCACACCATGGTCGCCTGTCCCGACCCCTCGTGCACTCGTCTCGTAGCACGAATGGACCGTGACGACACCGCCGGCGAATGTCGCCACTCGCTCATGGACTGTCCCGAGTGCGGCGAGCCCATCGATGCCGACACCATTGACGACCACTACGAAAACCACTGCACTCTGGCGCCCACCGACTGCGCGCACTGCGGCGGCTCCATCCTGAAACACCGCTACGCCGCCCATCTGCTGCACGAATGCGCCGGCGCCATCCGCCCGTGCCAGTACCACCCCGAGGGCTGCAGGCACAACTGCCGGCGAGAAGATCTTGTCGACCATGAGCAAGGCTGTGCCTTTGGCGCCGTTTCGCGCCTCAGGCTACTCCTCGAAGCCAAGCTCTCGGAGCAGGGCACCACCATCCTCCAGCTGGAACAGTCTATCCGGGATCAGGGAAGGGTAATGATAGACCTCGTGTCCACCGAAGCGCTATCGCGTTCCTCCTCCAACGGGGCGATTTCCGCCACAGGCGTTATTTCCTCGAATCCCCGGCTGGTCGGCGCCCCATTTCACCGCGCTCAGCTGGGTGGCTCCCGGCGCGAGCTCGCCCCCGGTCACAGCCAGGCCAGCCTCCGACGGCTGCAGCTCCCCCGCAACGACCAACATTCACCAGAAAGCGGTTCGCTGGTGGTAGAAGGAACGGGTAGCGGCGGCGAGGAGCCCGAGGGCATGCCTTTTTCGGCCTCCCTGTCTCGCGGCGTCGACGCCAACCATCACAGCCATCACCACCACCACCGGAGCGAGCACGACGACGACGCTCAGGCCTTCCTCCTCGCGGGTCTGAACAGCTGCGAGGAGAGGGTGGCCGGCCTGCAGCGGCGGCTGGCGGAGCAGGACGCGCGACACAGCCTCATGCTGGTCAACGAAGTCATCCCGCTGCAGGAACAGCTCACCGAGCTCCGCAGCGCCTTCACGGGGATAGCCATGGACATGCGCTTCGTCATCGCCCGGCAAAAGTCCCTGCTCAGTGGCAGCGGCGCGGTCGCGGGCGCGGGCGCGGGCACAGCCGGCAGCTCGGTGGGCGCCCACCCCGCGTCGGGAAGCGGTCGTTCGCCAACGCCCGGGCCCAGTGGGCACAGGATCGCGGACAGCCGGGCGAGGGATTCCGAATCGAGGGACACGGCACTGCCGACGATAACGCCCCCGAGGCTATAAACGGGGTGTCACCATGACTGGTTTTCCGTACTTTCCTCGAGAGACTATCAATTTCAGCTGCATACTCGCGTCTTCTGCCCAGTTTAGTTTCCCCCTTCTGGGTTTCTCTATGTACCTACCTGCTTAAGTAACCTTTGGTCTTCTTTTTCTCCGGAAAAATTGGATGATCGGAAAGGATGGAGTTTTAGACACCGTTTTTTTTTTTTTTAGTTAGTTTACAGTAAATCAAGGCACCGAGATTTGAACTTTACCAACTCAGGATATTCCCACCACTTCCTGCGGCTGGACAAAGTAACGAACCCAAAGGGGACGACGGAAGTCAACCAGCAAATGAAGGCGACATAAGAGTAGAGCAGCCCATATTTCAGATGCAAAAGTAGGCAGAGATCTATTTGGACCGTTTTCCAAGGGCCGGTGAGCCACAAAGTTCGGGCAGCATGCCAGCGGATGCGCGGGACAGCAGAGACCTCCCAAACAGGCAGGGAGTTGCTGGGAAAAAGAAAAGTACTTGGATTGGACAATGAGCAATGCCCAAGTATAGAATAAACACCATGATGGGGCCGGATTCATGAGGTATCCATCGAGTCTGCGTCCACGGGCAGTATACTTGAGCCGCCATCACCACTTTTGTTCACCTCCGGTGCGCTGCCATCTGCAATAGCCGCCAGCTTCTCCTTGGCCACTGCCATCCGACCCGCCTTCCACGCCTCGATCTGGGCCCGCAGCTCGTCACAGGGCACCACGTCGTCGATGCTCATGGGCTGTCGAGTGAACGGGTCCTTCGCATCAGAGAGCAGGTGCTGCGTGATGGTTGACCGGTCCACGATGTTGCCCGACGGCAGCTGCACCGGGTCCTTCATCAGGTCGCTCATGAGCGGGTCCTCGAATTCGGTCGGGATCTCGCCAAAGTCCTGCTCGGCCTGCTCGGCCAGTTGCTTGGCCGCCACCACCTTGGCTACCAGCCGCCCCCATGCATGTACCTTGGGAGGGTCTGCCAGCCCCTTGCTTTGCATGATTCGCGCCGCTGCGTCGAACGTCTCGGGCTTGTACGACCGCCCGTCCGCCGCGACGGCCTCAATGAACGCAGGCTTCTTACCCAAGTTCAAATAGATGTCCGTGATCTCCGCCAGCAGCGTCTTGGGCTCGAACCGGTACTTCTGCGGGTTCTCGACCTTGAGCTTGCTGGACTTGGGTCCGACCAACGTCTCGAGGTTGTAGTCCAGCATGCCCGCCAGTCGCTGCACGATTTCGGGCATGGTGAACGCATCTCCTAAAGCCTCTGTGAAGAGCTTCATCATGGCCACCGTCTGGTTTGTCAGGTGCATATAGGATGTTGCGTGGCCCTCGATCGTCTGCAGCTCGTCCTGCTTCTGCCTTTTCTCCTCTTCCGTGAGGGCCCCGGTCTCTCTGAGCTCCACCTGGAGCTCGTGGATCTTGTGGAACTTGCCCAGCGCCTCGTCCAGAACGTACGTGGCATCGTTTAGTAGCATGTTCACGAACCGGATGAAAAAGGCCCTGTTGGTCTTGCTCTGCTGCGTCAATTGCTGGTGGTAGTGTGTATTGGGCCACACCCGTTGGATAATGTATGATATCTCGAAGCGGATGTTGAATTTGTCGTAGAAAGCAGAGTTGGCTCCAGTCGACTCGCACTCGATGTAGAACTTCATGAGGGCGTGGAGGAGATGGTCGTTGGCAAACTTGGAATTGGTGAGCACGTCTGACATGACGCCGTTCTTCCAGTGACGATAGAACTGGGTCACTCCAAAGTAAAGCAGCGTGACCAGCGCCGCCTTCATGTAAGGGTTGCGGATGTAATCAGACGATTCAAGCAACGTGATGCAAAGAACCATGAGCTCGTCGCCGACCGCCGACATTAGGATTTGCGGCATCGCACTGTTTGGGTCAGCTTCCTGCAAAAAAAAAAAACCCCCCGGACATATTCGATAAAGAGGAGAGGGAAATTCATACTTGTATACGAATTTGAAGTTGTCCAGGACAATCTGCAAAGCATACTCTGGGAGGCAGCCAAAAATGTCTGCGGGAGGAGATGCCAATGGAATCCTACCAAGATTGGTGTCAATAATCAGCGCATTTGTTTCAGACGAATGGGGGAACGGTAAAAAGGATATGTGAACAGCAAAGAGGATCTGCGAATAGTAAAGAGGATATGTAAACAGTAGAGAGGATTTGCGAATAGTAAGATGGATATGTGAACAGTCAAGATGATACGTGAGGAGTAACGAGGATATGAATAAGAAAAAGGATATGAATAGTAACGAGAATATGACGGAACAAAGGCAACCGATACTTACTTCAACGACGTGTCAGGGGTATAAGGGGTCTGACTGGCCACGCGCAAGAGCCAGACAGTCACGTATCGCATGAATTGGAGGGACCGGGTTTGCATCTTCTCGTCTGTGAGCACGCCAACAGCCGCGTGCTTGTTTGCCAGACTGAGGTCAAGAGCCTCGCGATACTGCGCAGTCCTGGCGTCGAAAAGCTGGAGCCGGGTGGGATTCTACCATGAATAGACAAGTAAGTATCAGTCCGCATTATTCTCCACCGCCAAGATACGTCGCTCGCCCCAGTTGCTTGGGGAGGACGGTGCCCTTACGTTGATGTGGCGATGGCGTTCTGCCTCAAAGGCTTCCAAATTTCTCCTGAAGTTATCGTTTGTCCTGTCCATGGTCTTCAGCCGCTCGGAGATGGACTGGTTGCCGTAGTTGTTGGCTGCAAGCCCTAGGAAAAACACTTCTGTGATGAAGTTGGTGGTCCCATCAGCCTTTGTGGAATAGAACTCGTCCGACTGTTGCTGGTCCGCATTCAGCTTGGTCTCATCCTTGATCGACACGCGCGGGTTGCGCCGCAAGTAGTCGGTATCGATCCTGCCGACCTTGGAGAAGGTCGGGTCCATAAAGGGCTGGCACAGGTCGTTGACCACGTAGGTGACATTTACCATGAAGCCGTCCGAAGAGACCTCCTTGGGATCAACCTGCATGGCCCGTCGCTTGTGGTTGGAGTTGACGACCAGGGCGAGCCAGTCCAGCATCCTGTTCCTCACCTCTTCGTTTGCACGCACGAAGCTGTTAGTAATGCCGGCAAGATCCATCTGGTGAGCTGAAAGCGTGATGCGAAGGGCGTTTTGTGCGCTTCGGACCGCATTCTCGTCGAGAGATGTCGGATTAGGGAAATAGGATTTGGACACAAGTGCCTGGAGGGGAGAAAGCCGGAAGAATGGGCCCAAAATCGTCTCTTTCTCTATCAAGGGCGGTGTAGTGGTCGTCGGGAGCAGGAAGGAATCATGCCGAGCCAGTGCGATCATGAGCTCCTTGTGTTTGGAGTACAGTTTGAGAACCTATACGCGAAGAGAAAGAGTTAATGGCTGGAGACTCTGCAGGCACAATGCGGCATAGAGGCCTTACGTCAACATGTGGCCTGAAGTTGTCTGCCAGACTCATCTTGGAGAGCCTCGCGCTAATCTCGGCCATTGCATTGACAAAGATGTCGGTAAAGGACTCATCCTCGTCTAGCCTCTTGACGGCTTCATCCAAGAAATCCAGGCAGATTCCGGATTCGCTATCCAAGCCTCTGAGCAGGTAGGGCGCCAGGCTGTCATGCTTCGGATTTGCCTCGCGACTACACATTATGAGCCACCAACAGTCAGTTCTTCAGAACTCTATGTCTTGCCTGTCGGGCACGGAGCAGTGACAAACCCAAACAGGTCGGGGACCGTGAGCGCGAAGAGTACGTTGCTCATGCAGAGTCGTTTGGCCTCGCTGACGAGCGCGACCTTCTCCGGCGCTGGGCTGCGCACCATCACGGCGGATTTGCTAAACCTGATGATGCGCTTCCAACAAGGGAGGAGATATTCAAGCAGCGGTTTCTGGTGCGGGAACTCGGTGGCGGCCTCAAGGATTATGGCATCCAGGCTGTCCTGCGACAGTCGGAGCTTGTCTCCATCCTTTGGCTCCCCCAAGGACTCCTCGAGTTCGCTTCTGAGGTTGGGCAGGTACGTGAGCGGGTGGCCGAGGGCGTCGGCTTGGTGCTCTGGGTCGAGGGTAGCCCTGAAGAATTGCGAGATGGTCCTGTCGGCCCAGTCCTCGAACGTCTCCGGCTTCTGGATCTTCGGCGGCCGCATGCCTGGCGATCGTTTATCAATATCGACTCTTGATCTCTTGAGGGTGCTCCCGTCGCTGTGGGCTGTACCTGAATCCTCCTTGCCTCCTTGTGGCCGTGAGGGGACTGGGCTTTGAGCCCGCGACTGCTGGGGAGGGGTGGGATGGTTCTTGGCGGGTACGGAACTGCCAGCGGCGGCAACGGAGGACGACTCTGGGGTACTCTTGTCGGAGTCTTCTATTTTGTCTTCCGCCGAAGCCGAACCGGCTGGGGGAACAGAAGCACTAAGCTTAGCGAGCCGGCGCGCCCGCATCTGCAACAAGTCCAGCGGAGTCAGTCGGATTCTCAAGCATCGCTCCGGCTCCGGATTCCTAGGCTGGATTATAAATCTTGAGGGCTCGGCTTTGGTAGGCAGTGACTCACCTGCTCGGCGCTCGGCAGCGTCGGCTCGTCTGGCGGCGGCCTCTGCTGCTGCTCGTCGGGATCCATGGTGGCGAGCGTCAGCGACCGGACTCTCTTGTGAGACTTGGGGGTGCGTTGGGTGTTTGGCGATGCTGCGAGAGCGACAGGCACGTCGAGCTGAGCGCTGCTGAACGCAGCACAGGTCATGACCCGCAGCGTCGGTGGCAGGCAACCGTCACTGCCCCACCCCAAGCACTCCCGGAATGGCAAGTGGCGGGGGTATCCAACCCCGTATTTGCCCCACTGTCAAAGAGCTTGGGACGCAGGACGCCCACATAGCAGTTCTTTCGAGGAGTAGGAAAAGGAAGAGGTAGGAAAGAGGAACGCAAATAGGAATACAAGTAGGAATACAAATAGGAATACAAATAGGGTAAGAATAATAAGAATAATAGTGGAAATTCTAGAACTTTTCGGCCTCGAAAAGACGTGAATGGGAATGAAACAAAGCCAGGATTAGACATGATGAGAATAATATGACACAAGGGGATATGAAATAGAATATCTATTAAAGCTTCTCACACTGCAACTCTGACTTGCTTGGGATAGAAGCCTTCAAAGATTTGACATTGACCAATCGGTTTTATCGTTGTAGCTTCCATTGTACGTCAACACTTATCAGATGCTACGGCATCGCCTAGAACCCCATACTCAGCGTCGACCGAGCTCCACCCGTCAGCTTCGAGATCATGCGGGGAACAGCCAGAGACTACGTGGTACTCGCCTGGCTCTTGGCAGCAAAGGACGTGGTGCCGATATGGATGTTGTAGGGTGCGATGGGGGTCGGATGGTATGTGGGGGTCTCTCTGTGAAAATATATAATACCATCACACATCACAA